ATTAGAAATCGGCAAAAATCTGCAAAAACATCATTAAAAAATCGGCAAAACGCGCCCCAAAAAATCATCAAAAATGAGTAAAATCTGCGAAAAAAAAATTCATAAAAAGTCGGAAAAAATCCCCAAAAAACAAATGTTCATCCGGCTGGTTTTTCCAGCTTTTTGGCGGATGAGCCGGGCGTGCGTGTGGGGTCGCTGGAGGGGACAAGTGGCCCCGTGTCCTTCTCCTGGTGGCCAGGACTAACTAAGCCGGGCTTATCTCGGTGCAGTTAGGCCGGACCTAAGCCAAGGTGCCGCACTGGTGGGCTCAGCTGCCCGCTTTGCCATTCCCGGGCGGGATTCCCGGCTTCCTGGGGCGGCAGGAGTTGGGATTCTCCCAGCCGGGGAGCCGGGATGGGAGGCCCCGCCATCCCTTTGATCCCAGCTGCAGGTGCCAATTATCCCGGGAATGGCACAGCCATCAAAAGTCCCCTGGGAGAGTCTCCGGTGCCTTCAGGATTCCCTGGAGTCAGAAGCTCCTGGAGTGACCTGGATAAACCTGGATAAACCTGGATAAACCTGGATAAACCAGGACTCGGAGCCGCTCCCGGGGCCTTGTTGTGGCCCCAGGCACCTGCTGCTTTCCTCCGGCCTTTCCTGCTGGGATCCCAAGCTTGGATGTGGCTTTCCCAAGCTCGGATGTGGCTTTCCCAAGCTCGGATGTGGCTTTCCCAAGCTTGGCTTCTCCCTTTTTTCTGGGTCAGGAGCCTGGAGCTGTTGTCCCTGGTGCCCCGTTTCTCCGGGATCTCCATGGAAGCTCCGGCCGAGCGAGGAGCCGGCGCCGCTCGGTTGCTTCCCGCCTTCCCACCTCCTTCCTTCCTCCTTCCTAGGGATTGGATCAGATCCAAGGAGTTAGGGATGCCACGTCTCCTCCCTAGGAATGCCGTTTCCCCTTCCTATGGATGCTGTGTCCCCTTCCTATGGATGTTGTGTCCCCTTCCTATGGATGTGTGTCCCCTTCCTAGGGATTCTGTGTCCCCTTCCTAGGGATGTGTGTCCTCTTCCTATGGATTCTGTGTCCCCTTCCTATGGATGTTGTGTCCCCTTCCTATGGATTCTGTGTCCCCTTCCTATGGATTCTGTGTCCCCTTCCTAGGGATGTGTGTCCCCTTCCTAGGAATGCTGTGTCACCTTCCTAGGAATGCTGTCCCCTTCCTATGGATGTTGTGTCCCCTTCCTATGGATGTTGTGTCCCCTTCCTATGGATTCTGTGTCCTCTTCCTATGGATGTGTTTCCCCTTCCTCAGGATGTCGTGTCCCCCTTTTAGGGATGTGTGTCCCCTTCCTAGGGATGTGTGTCCCCTTCCTATGGATGCTGTATCCCCTTCCTAGGCATGTGTGTCCCCTTCCTATGGATGCTGTATCCCCTTCCTATGGATTCTGTGTCCCCTTCCTATGGATGCCGTATTCCCTTCCTAGGGATGTGTGTCCCCGTCCTAGGGATGTGTGTCCCCTTCTTTGGGATTCTGTGTCCCCTTCCTATGGATTCTGTGTCCCCTTCCTAGGAATGCCATGTCCCCTTCCTATGGATGTGTGTCCCTTTCCTATGGATGACGTGGCCCCTTCCTAGGAATATATGTCCCCTTCCTAGGAATATATGTCCCCTTCCTAGGGATGCCGTGTCCAACTGCCGTGGTTTGATCCCAACTCCAGCTCCCCGCAGCAGGCGGAAGCCGCCTGTTTTCTGCCTCCTTTCCTCTTTATCCACGTGGTAACAAACCACTCCAACCAGGGCTGGAATTCCTGCTCCCCAGGATGTCCAAACCCTCTCCCTAACGAGCCCGTTTCCCATTCCAGAGGGAGTGCATCTCCATCCACATCGGGCAGGCCGGGGTGCAGATGGGCAATGCCTGCTGGGAGCTGTACTGCCTGGAGCACGGCATCCGGGCCGACGGCACCATCCCGGCATCCAAGCAGGGCAAATCCCCGGATCCCGGCTCGGAGCAGGGGGATTCTTCCTTCGAGACCTTCTTCTGCGAGACGGCGTCCGGGAAACACGTGCCCAGGGCGGTGTTCATCGACCTGGAGCCCACGGTCATTGGTAAGAGGATTTTTGGGGATTCCCCGCCCTTCTTCCTTGGGAATTGTGTTGCCGCCCGTGTTTCCCGGCAGATCCCGCTCCTCCGCTCCAATAAAACATTCCCAGCCGTCCACAGGAGGCGGAATTCGCCTTTCTAAGTGGATCTGGGGGTGCCAAATGCTGTCACCACCCCCGGCTTTGGTTGATCCCTCCTTTTGAGGCCTGTTCTCCCCAGCGGGTGGGAAGTGATTTATCCTGGATTTATCATGGATTTATCAGCCTCGGTGCTCCTGGATGGAATTGCGCCATCCAGGTGTGGCACACCTGGGTTTAATTAAACTAAACCTGGTTCTAATGCCCCCCCTGGAGCACCTTTGGTGCCACCACTCCGTGGTTTTGTGGGAACGGGGTGTCCCGTTCAGTCAAAGGTCAGACTCGATCTTGGAGGTCTTTTCCCAACCTAATTCCTTGTGGGATTCTTGCTCCTGCAAGACTTCCAATTCCCCTTCTATTCCCAGTTTCCTTGGTGATCCCTGGGTGTTTGACTCAGTCGTGGCACCTCCCTGGAGAACAAATTCCTTTTTTTTTTTTGCTCAAGGAATTGGTGGAAATCATTCCCAACCGAGGCTCCTGCATCCCTCTCCCTGCTTCTGCCTCCTGGGATTCTCCTCCTCTCTCCCCCTGTGGGATGTGTGAGTCACTGGATCATCCAAGAAAAGGAGTGCAGACTTCTGTTTGGGCTCAGCTTAATTATTAATCTTGATTCAATTGGGAGTGCAGTGATTGAATCTGTAGGATATGAGGTGTATCCAGTATTGGGACTGAGCGGATCCAAAAACCCTCTGGAGCTGCCTCCAACCTCAGCGACTGCCTGGAGCTGAGGGAAAACTGCTCCTGATGCCTGTCTGGGAAGCTGGATCAACACTGGAAGCCCTTTGCCTCGTGTTGAGGAGCTTCCAGACTCTTCCAGATGCTTTGGTCACGAGCTGGAAAACCAGCTTCTTGTGGTGACCAATCCCACAAAAACTGGGAGCACAGGCAGGGTCCTGACTCCTTAAGCCGGGCTAATTTGGGATCTCGAGGTGGAAGACGGAGGAGAGGCAGCAGGACCTTTGACAAATCGGTCATTCCTGCCCCTTCCGTCATTCCCGGTTGGAACTGCCCGTTTTTTGGTGGCCATTCATAGAATCCCAGAATCAGCTGGGTTGGAAAGGACCTCTGAGATCATCCAGCCCAACCCTTAACCCACCCCCGCCGTGGTTCCCAGCCCATGGCACTGATGCCACATCCTGTCTGTCCTTA